TGCCTGAACAGATACCGATATTTATTTACCCTTAACTTAAGTATATGGCACACAAAAGTGTGTGGCTTTAGTTCCAATTTTTTTTAATTAAGTAAATACAACTATTTTAGCTTTAGTTTATTTTAGGTTATATACTTGAATATAACCTATTTTTTGACATATTTTCTTTTTTCAATATTCTTTTTGATAATTTATGATGTACAAAAAATTTTATGCAAATCTATCAAATCACGAGATTAACAGAGAAATAAACGAGATACAGAGAAAACAATACACCGGGGTTTATGTGGTATCTACTCTAGGGCAAAGCGGTCAACGATGATTTTATCACGAACGATGGCAATGATAAGCTCAGAAGTACGTCTCTCTCAATCTCAATTTCCAATTACACTCAACCAATTATAACTAATATTTCCTCTCAATTGCTTCAGAGTTTTACTCAGAAAACTTTTAGAAACTCTAGAATAACTCTCAAGAGACTCTAATGTGTAATCTCGCAAAATAGGTAAAAAAGAAAATTTAATCCAAAGTTGGCTAACCATGATCAATTGTGGTCCACCAAAGTTCCTAAATATATAGACAACCAAGGTTCGCCACTATGCTTGACCGATAAACGGCCTTCAACCCTTTCAATTTTTGGCCAAAATTCGGAACATATTGGAGAATCACTATCTTGGTTCGTGTTAATTATACTATAATACTTATGTATGTTAAACTCGTGTCACCCTTGGATTTGCCAAAAAACAGTGTCAAAACGTATAAATTCATGTCAGAAATTACCACTCTTGTTCTTAATAGAGGCTTTATTTAGGAGTGACCAATTCCATATGGGTGTTCTCGACCTAGAATCGAAAATTGACCACCCTCAGTTCCAAAAGATTGGAACTGGGAATCGAACAGTCCGTTTTGGAACTGCCAGTTCTAGAATCAACGGTTTTGGTTCAATTCTCGTTTCCATCGGGAACCGGCCCATTTTCTATTTTGAATAAAAAAAATTCCTACAATATAGCGTAAAAGTTGCACAGTTTCACTACAAAAACACATTTTTGTCAAGTTTTTAAGTTGTTTCTTCATGTTAAAGACCACGATAATTTTTTATGGTGCAAATATATATTTATATATTTTCTTCACAAGAGGATTCAAAATCAGTTTAGAATTGGTTTGGCTAAGGAAATGGACTGGTTGAATTTGTTCTCGGTAGAACCAGTGGCTCTAGCCTTGAAACTAGGAATTGAACCTGTCTTAAGCTGATTCTAGGTTCACGGAACTACCGTTTCTAGATTCATTAAATCAGGAGCTGAACTGATTCTCTCTAGATTTGGCCTCCAATCCATCGGTCAAGGCTAGTACGGTCTGGCTCTCGAATTGAACCGGACTCAGTGCTCATCCTTAATTTTACTGTTTATTTAAAACAGAAGTGGTGCCACCTGCTTTGGTAAGTAAAACATTAAAAAGAAAGTGGTCTGTCTTGCTATAGATTACCTCCTTTTTGGTTGGAGGAACTTCCTCCAACATCCTTACTCCGGTTGGTGCATTACCAGTCAGAAACATCATCTATATGGAAACCCAATTAAAAACAAACATGACCGATCTTCATGTTTGTAACCCATCATTTAACAGACAATGTAACTATAGAAGGGAAAAAATACGGGCCGTCTTGAAATTTATGCCGATGAAAAAAAAAAGAAAAGGCAATTCGTATCATACATCTCAACAAACTGCGGTATCTCCCTTGAACTTTCTTTATTCCTTCTCCTATTCAGTCCAGTTTCAATGTCGCTTGTGTTTTGCATGTGTAGATTCGATTCCCATGGGGGGGGGGGTGGTTGGTTTTGGGGGGAAAGAAATTCTCCGGTGCACGAAGGAGATGCAAGCAGCGTTCCAGAATGCCGGAACCCAAGATCGGCAAAAAGTCGTCACGTCCTTCTAATAACGTGCGCAAAAGAAACAACCGGACGGAATCGATCCTTTCAAAGATACGGCTAAATGTAGTTGGGTTTAGTTCATTATTCTCGCATGAGCTCATTCAGCCGCCCCAAACTTTTTATCCACAATGAACCTTTTAGCCAAGAAGGCAGGTCGTATACGGTTGTTCTCATAGCCATCACTGTCTCTATTAATGCTTCATTAGTTCATGAGTTAATTACTTAACTATCAATCAAATCGGGAAAATTACCCAAAAAGTCATAAACCTGCTGTGCCAATTTAGTCATGAACTTTTCAAATTTAGTCAATTTAGTCCTAAATATTTTGACAATTTGCCAATGTAGTCATTCAGTTGATGACGTGGACGCCGTTTGTCTTACATGGTACGGTTGACATTGACGTGGACAATTTTTTTTACTTGATTTTTAAATTTTTCTTTAGTTTCTTTTTTTTCTTTTCTTTTTATTGTTAAGGGCCAGCATAAAAAAAGATGCCAAGTCTTTTTTGGAACTCCAAGAAGTATGAGAGAGAGAGAGAGAGAGTAGCATAAAAAATGAAAATCATGAGAAATTCATCCAAGAGGCCACATCATTCTTGGCCTAATTCAAAACAAATAACATCAACTTTACCTTGAGTGACAATTTTGGCCTAAACTTTTTTTTGTCTCATAAAAAATCACAAACTTTAATTTAAATCCCAAATCTAGCCCAAACATTTTGAAAATTTCATACCACAGGAGGATTTGGGACTAGAGTAAAAGTTGATGCTTTCTATTGAGACAAAAAAAGTTCGGGCCAAAATTGTCACTCAAGGTAAAGTTGGTGCTTTCTTTTGGAATTAGCTCCATCATTCTTTCACTATTCCTACCCATTCACATCATATATATAATTTTTAAAATTGCTAAGTCTTCTTTGGAGCTCCATGTACTCTTATGTTATGGATTATATGATAATCTCGTACCATTTATCCAAAAAGAAAAATAACCATCAAGAAGACATCGAGAAAATTATAAGTAAAGATGCGAGAATGTTCTACATGCACGTACAAATGGCAAAACCACGTGAACCTGTGTGCTTGACCTAACCAGAGAGCAAATATAGATCATATGTAAATGGTATTCATAACCTGAATTGTAATGTTTCAATGCGAAACAATATTAAAGAAATCTTGAAAGTGAATGGAGGAGAAAACACATTGATCCTAATTTGTGTTATCTTAAACTATTAAAGGAGAAAATTGATGGAACCCTAGAGGATATTGATACACTAAATGTATTAATGGTCGATCGATTATTTAACACTAAACAAAGGTAAGCGACCAAAATAAAGAGCAGGGATACCGGATGAATATGATATTTTCATTTGGGAAAAATTGAATAAAAATCCGTTTTTGGTGTTACCCATTCGAGTAATTAGTCGACTATCATTCATAAAAATCAATTTTTTATAGTTTAACTTGCCATATGCTCTAATGAAGAGAAGACTAACGTGTGCATATGATGGATGGAAATAAGCAAAGATCCTAATTCTCATGATTGGGATTAGGATTAGGATTAGCCACACACCACACACTTGAAATGATTCTCTAAAGAATAAGATGGCCACTTATGGTGCGCAAAATCAAAAGGGTCTTCCACATGTGGACTCTGCATACACTAAGGTCAGAAAATTCAAAGACCTAATAATTATAAATAGTATGGATGATGAATTATTGTTTTCTGGTCCGAGCGATTCCATAGATTTCTTATCCTATCTAATCGTCGACTCTGCCCATTCAATTCGGCATACAAGTGATCCCGATTCCTAATAATCGCATGGGCTTTAATGGAACTTTTTCGAGAAGTTTGAGGTTGAAATTGATGGAGGATGTGCTTTATTTATTAGGGCAAATACTATAAAAAAAATCCTAAATTATGCCCATTGTGATAATAATATCCCAAACTTTTTTGTGGGTCACCAAAAATTTGAAACTTGCCCACTATGATCCAAATATCCCTAACATTTTCTTTTTTGGTAAGGAAAAAAAAAAGAAGAAAATGTTAGGGATATTTGGATCATAGTTTCTTTGTCACCAAAAATCCAAACTTATACATGTGTGACATATACACCCTCCATTTTAGTTTCATCTAGAGTATATTTGTCACATTGGCATAAGTTTGAGATTTTTTATGACAAAAAAAAAGTTTAGGGTATTTGAATTAGAACATACAAGTTTTGGACTTTCATTGACACAAAAAAAAAAATTTTGGGGTATTTGTGTTTTAGTGGGCATAATTTGAAGTTTTTTTGTGTTATTAGTTCTATTTATTAAAGATGGGTTAATACCACGAAAAATCCCAAATTGGTACACCTGTGACAATTTTGCCCAAAACTAATTTTTTGACCATGAAAAACCCTAAACTGGTACACTTATGATAAATTTACCCCAAACTAATTTTTTGATCATAAAAAATCCCGAATTGGTACATTTGTGACAAATTTACCCTCTGTTAATTTCTATTAAATTGAATTAATATCACAAAAAATCATAAACTGGAACATTTGTGATAAATGGAGGGTAAAACATAACATTGGTATATCCGTCAATACTGCGTGTCATTTAACAAAGCAATTTGACGGTAAAATTTAACGGAAATAAACTGAGGGTAAATTTATCACATGTGTACCAGTTTGAGGTTTTTGATAGTCAAAAATTCGTTTGGGATAAAATTATCACGAGCGTACCAGTTTAGGATTTTTCGCGTTATTAACCCAAGATCAATTGGAAAAAGTAGAGATAAGATGTTTCGGTGTCGTTGTTGTCTTGGGATTATATCTATCGTTCACATACGAAGAACCGGTGGGAGCTTGTCGTTTTCCCGCGATTCGGGCAGGAACGGTCGTTCCATTCGCTGCTCCATGATCAGTATTTACGACCAAAAACACACTCTCTTTTCTCCTTTTGTGTACAGGACAACCAAAAGCCACTTTGCTTCTGCTGAAACTTGGCCACCCTTCTTCATTCGCCAAACGACACCGTCCCACATCCCAAAACGCACAATCCCAGTCGACCAAACAAGTCAACACGAAAGCTCACTCCTTTCCCCCCACCACCCAGTATATAGACCCGCTCAGATCAATCACGTCCACACACACCACAAACACCAGCGAGTCAGGCCCGCCCCAATCAGCAAATTCCTTCCATCATTCTTGAGTACAACGTCTGTTGCAACTTTACTTGCCAAAATGGTGATGGCCGACGCCACCGCCGGCAGCCACGGCTGGAGGGAGACGAGGTCGGTGGCCATGCACGTCCTCCTCGGGCGGTGGTTCATGGCCTTCGCCGCCCTCCTCATCATGTCTGTGGCCGGGGCCACCTACATCTTCAGCCTCTACTCCGGCAACATCAAGACCAACCTTGGCTACGACCAGACCAGCCTCAACCTTCTCGGGTTCTTCAAGGACCTTGGCGCCAACGTCGGGGTACTCTCGGGCCTAATCAACGAGGTCACTCCGCCCTGGGTTGTCCTCTCCATCGGCGCTGCCATGAACTTCTTTGGCTACTTCATGATCTGGCTCGCCGTCACCGGCCGCTCCGCCCGGCCCCGCCTCTGGCTGATGTGCCTTTACATCTGTGTCGGTGCCAATTCCCAGTCCTTTGCCAACACTGGCGCCCTAGTCACCTCCGTCAAGAACTTCCCAGAGAGTCGCGGTGCCATCCTCGGCCTCCTCAAGGGCTTCGTTGGCCTGAGCGGCGCCATCCTGGCCCAGCTCTACCACGCCTTCTATGGCGACGATTCCGAGTCCCTCATCCTTCTCATCGCCTGGCTCCCTGCAGCCATCTCCGTCGTCTTCCTGCGCACCATCCGCGTCCTTGCGGTGGTCCGGCAGAAGAACGAGCTCAAGGTCTTCTACAACCTCCTGTATGTCTCGCTCGGCCTCGCCGGGTTCCTCATGGCCGTCATAATACTGCAGAACCAGCTCTCGTTCTCGAGGATCGAGTACGCTGGAAGCGCTGCAGTCGTTCTTTTCCTACTCTTCCTGCCAATTTTCATCGTCGTCAAAGAAGAGATTTTTCTCTGGAAGAGGAAGAGAGAGATCGTCATGAACAATGACCCTCCCCATCAGCTCAAAGTAGTCGCTGAAACTCCACCACCACTGCGGGCTTCCGAACCTGTGCCACCGCTGCCTGTGCCACAGCATATGGCAGCGAGCGGCTGCAGCAATATCCTCCGGCCTCCAGACAGAGGCGAGGACTACACGATCCTGCAGGCCCTCTTCAGCATCGACATGCTGATACTATTCATTGCCACCACGTTCGGCGTAGGCGGGACGCTGACTGCGATTGACAACCTGGGCCAGATCGGGAGCGCGCTTGGGTACCCGTCCCGAAGCACCACCACGTTTGTGTCCCTTGTCAGCATTTGGAACTACCTCGGCCGTGTTGTGTCCGGGTTCGCTTCCGAGGTCCTCCTTACCAAGTACAAGTGTCCCCGCCCTCTCCTCCTGACCCTTGTCCTCCTCCTGTCCTGCGTTGGCCACCTCCTAATCGCCTTTGGCGTTCCCAATGCTCTCTACGCCGCATCGGTCATCACCGGGTTCTGCTTCGGCGCGCAGTGGCCGCTGGTGTTCGCCATCATATCCGAAATCTTTGGGCTCAAGTACTACTCCACGCTGTACAACTTCGGGGCTGTCGCAAGCCCCGTTGGAAGCTACGTCCTCAATGTGAAGGTGGCAGGCCGGCTCTACGACCGGGAGGCAGCGAGGCAGATGGCGGCCTCGGGGTTGGCGAGGAAAGACGTCAAGGAGTTCATGTGTAAGGGTGTCGAGTGCTACAAGACGGCATTTCTGGTGATCACGGCGGCGACTCTCTTCGGATGCTTGGTGTCCTCAATTCTGGTGCTGAGGACGAGGAAGTTCTACAGGGGCGACATTTACAGGAAGTTCAGAGAGGCCGCGATTGATTTGACGGGTAGGGAAGATGATTCCAAAGCCGCCGGGGTGGAAGCAGAGGCCGCGGCAGTGGCGGCGGTGCATGGAGATGATCGTACGGCCACCGCCGGAGCTGGGGACCTGATTGCCACTGCCACGCGGGCTGTGCGGCAGGGGAGGGGGACGTGAAAACTTCAAGTTGCCCTGCTGAAGCTTACCTCAGAAACCATAAATCATATTTGAAGAAAATATTGTACTTATTTATCATAAGATAGAAATTGGGGCTCTTTCGTTTTTTGGGCGGGAGGGGGTGTTAGTGTTACTGTTCTCATCATTGTAAAATTCCTTGGTCGTTAGTGGCGAACAGGAAAGGAGAAAGTGTCCCGACTCTTTGGGATTCGTTTCAATACAAGAGCAATGACTTCTTTTCCAACCGAGAAATTAAACTTTATATTTAGTTTGTATAATCTTAATCTATGTATATATCATGTGTTATCCTCAATCTTATTTTACTTTGAATATTTTGATTTTGGCCTTACTTCTTGGTAATTGGATCGAGACAAGTTGAGTTTGAATTGATTGAAACAGATACTAGTCAAGCTCCAGTAGAGGTGGAGTTCGCATTTGAGTTCTATCGACTTGAGCGGCCGACAGCCCTGGGTCATCTCTCTCGGTCGGTCGTCCGTTCGACTAACATGACGACTCGAAATATAGACACGTGTATCACTCGCACGCATTCTTCTTTTTGTATTTTTATGAATACCTATTTTTATGGTCGATACAATAGGACAAATGTCTGATAGCCGCAATATAAGGGGTGGCATACTTTGTAGGGATGTGATGATATGTGTGTGTTGTTCCGAGGATTTGCGGTATTCGATGTGCAGGGACTAGGACCACCCTTCCTAATTCGCCACAAAAAACAGCAGAGGGAAAAAAAAATTCTAGTTTTGATCAAACTTATTCATGCAACATATTATTTTAACTGCACATCGGCGAATTGTTTTTCAATAATTTGTTTGTCTTGGAGTGATACCTAATTTGGGCAGCCAAACGTGTTAATAAATTCTAATTAGTAAGCTTCATGTTCTCTCTACATCATCACCTGAGATAATCGAAGCTGGCTACTGACGGTGGGTGCGACGTGAATTCTTATTTCTTTTTTTTATATTATAAAATCATAAATTTCTCTTTCATCACTTTCTAAAATTATATAAAAAACACAATTCCATTTTTCGAATATTTTGAAGAGAATGTTGAAATAAAGGGAAAAAAAAACCTTTTTATTTATTTATTTAAGTACAGATGAATGGATCCTCACATTTGAATTTTGTCACGAATCGATCATATATATTCAGGGTGCTTCTCACTGTTTACTTGGATACTTTCTTTGGGGAAGGTGTTGTCTCGCTCATATTGTGAAAAGTAAAGTCGTTGATCAGTTGCCCTATTTTGAGGTCAAGATACAGTCTCCCCAAGACACGATAAAATCACAATATTTCACAATCAAATTGAAATAAAATAGATCTCGACCGTTTCGCGGTTCTCAATATGAACAATTGTGATTCTTTTGCTTTTCAATATAATAGTGAAAATCTGTGGAGGCACAATACTCATAAAAAACCATAGACCCACTTGCCTAAAGACTACGGGTATTCCTTGGTATTGAATCTTCGATGGGGAAACATACATTAAAACCTTCACAAGAAATATGAATCATGATATGCAAATAAAATCACATCAAATAGAGAATTCAAGCGAAAAGAACACACCAGTATTACGATGATAGATAAAATTACAATAAGAGTGATTATTGGTATTTATATTCTTGACCTATGCATTGATACTAAGGGGGTGTTTGGTTGGGCTTTGCCAAGGAGCTTTAAGCCTCCAAAGCCATTTGGGGGAATTATTTTGTGTTTGGCAAATTATTTTTGAAGCTCTTTGGCCAAATATTGGCCTTCTCAAGGCTGAAAGCTCAAAGCAGCCCAAGGGGTGCCTTGAGCTTTCAGCATTCTCGGAATGCTAGTACTCCATTTAATGAAAATATGTTAGTTGCCTTTTTTGCCCTCAAAATTTGTCCAAAAACCCACTTTTGTCCATTTAAAAAAGAGAAGCCCCAGTCTTCACGCTCAGTCACGCTCACCTCACCTTGCTCACCTCGCTCATCGATCTCCCTCACTCGACTCGCGACGCCTCGCTCGCCGACCTCGCCTCACTCTCCGGCCTCGCGTCGCCTCCTCTCCGGCCTCGCGTCGCCTCCTCGCTCGTCGACCTTCCTCGCTCGGCTTGCCGCGACTCAGGAATAGCTCTTCCTTTTTGCTTCTCAGCTGCGTGCGAGCCAGCGAGGTTGCTCGGAATCGCGAATCGCTGCCTTCTTTCCTGGTAAATCGAAGCTAAAGATCGTTCCTTTACTCGGGAATACCGTGGCGAAGCCGATCGGCGCGTCGTTTCCTCGCTTGTTCCGGCGGATTTGGTGCTGTTCCGCGGTTGTTGAGGCTTTATTTGGCTTGCTTACTGGTGGTAGTGAAGTGGGGGTGGGTCGTTTGCCTTCGGGTTTGTCGTGGGTCGGTTCGTTGCTTCGTTTGGCGAAGTGGGTGTGCATGGTCGGGGGTCGATGTGATGAGGCTGAGTCCGTTTCTTGGTCGCCCTTTTGGTGTGTGTTTTGAGTTGAGGGTTTTTTTTAGCTGCTTCGGCCTTGTTTGGTGCCGATATGTGGGTTGAAATGTTGTCTTTGTCTTGCGATCTGCGGCTTGTGTGGGCATTTCGGTGGGCGATGATTGTTTAGCTCCTGGTTTTGTTTGTGGGTTTGCGAGATTCGTGTTAGAGTCATGAATTTGTTTGGGTTTTTTTGGGTTGATGCGCCGCTTTGCATAACTTTTTTTTTTGGGTTGGATTTAGATTTTGCGAGGCTTGCGAACTCTGTCGGTGTTGCTTCTCTCCAAGTAGAGAGGCAACTCTCGGCCCTTGTGAAGCAATGCTAGTTCCTGTTTTCGTGAACTGAAAAATGTGCTGCATACGATTGGGTTTTTCCTCTTTAGGTTATAGTTTTTTTGGTCCTTATGATGTAATATTTAAGGATAATGTATTTCATTTTTAGGGACATGTGATGTGTATTATAATGAAATGACTCCTTTTTTTTAAATTTGTGAATATATTTCTATTATGTTATTCTCGTCGCGAAACTATAAAAGTTACCGTCATTATTTTTTTTACTTCAATTTTAAACAATTAAATTAAAAAAAAACATAAATTGGTTACACCAAAGGACTTTCCAAATATATGTTTACCAAACAGCTTGCATTTCACCAAAGCACTTTTCAATGGATGTTTGCCAAACAGTCCTGCACTTCTTCAAAGCCCTTTGTGCTAAATGGCTTTGCATTTGGCCAAAGACTTTCCCCAAATGCCGAACCAAACAGGCCCTAATTATGTAAAGAAATTCTTTGCCTCGAAAGGGACTATTGTAATCTATAGCTTACCTCGGTTTTGGTTAGAGGAAGTTCCTCCAATATCATAACTCCAGTAGGTACATTACCAATCATAAACATGTAAACCCAACTGAAAATAAATACGAGCGACGTTCATGTTTGTAATTCATCAATTAGACGATGACATAACTATAGAAGGGGAAAAATACGGGCCATCTTGAAATTTACGACTATGAAAGAAAAAACCGCAATTCGTATCATTCATCTCAACAACACTACAGCATCTCCCTTAAACTTTCTTTATTCCTTCTCCTATTCATTCCACTTTCAATGTCACTCGTATTTTGCATGTTCACGTTAGCACCGGTCGTGCATAGGACGGCCGGCATCCATTTCGGTGATTTCCGTCCAAAATTGGCCGGATGGAGTCAATTGGCACAAATGCAAAATGTTTAGGATTAATTAGGTCCAGTTAAAGGTTTACGACCGAATTAATACCAATGAATAGTTGGGGACTTGTTTTGTACTTTCCCTCCTTTTATCCAAGAAGACATGTTCTATTGCTCCTATAACCATCCATGTCTCTCTTAATGCATTTGTTGTGCATATCTTGAGTTCTCTATAAGCTTGTGTCAATGTTATGGCTTGGGAGTAATATAAATATTATTTTGCTAAAGTTATTAGGTTAAGAAGTAGAGACAAAAAAAATCTATTTATGAGCCACATTTGTAATTTGCTTCTCCTATCTCCGTGGTTTTTCCCGCAAGGGTTTTCCAAATAAATCTGTGTGTTCTTTTATGCTTCTCAAGTTTAATTTTGTTGTAGTTTCCGATCTGTCATAACAATCTAGTATAAGAGTCATATGGTTTTTCAATCTTCTAGTTATAACTTCAAGTTCAACAATGAAATTTGATATTGAGCAGTTTGATGGGAGCAACAGTTTCAACCTATAGCAGGTTCATATGTTGGATGTTCTTACGCAACACAGTTTAAAGAGAACTTTGCTTGGGAAAGGGAAAAAATCGGAAAACACATCAGATGAAACCTAGAAAGAATTGGATGAAAAGACTTTGTCGACTATCCAGTTGTGTCTCACGAATGAAGTTCTGCAGGAGGTACTAGAGCAAAAAACACATGTAGGTTTATGGGTGAAATTGGAGAATACTTTTTTGACAAAAATCCCTCACCAATTGATTGAGACTCAAGCAACGACTCTGCACTCTTCGTATGGCTAAAAGTGCTTCCCTTAAGTCTCATATTTTTGAGTTCAATAATATTATCTCTGAATAAGAAGTATTGATATTAAGATTGAAGATTTTATTATTAGTTTAATTACCTCCCTCTTATAAGAATTTTAGAGAGACCGTGATTGTTAGTAGAGAAACAATCGATCTTGAAGATGTTTAGTCTTCTAAATAAGCAAAAACTAGATACAAAATTGACTTTTGAAGGCAATAGTGATCATGGGGCTAGTTTTGTTGCTAGGGGAAGGTATGTTAAGAGAAGCAACGGTGGTGGGAGCAGGTCAAAATCGAAACATACTTGCAACTATTGTAAGTCTAAGGGATACACCAAGATAAATTATTTAAAATTGAAGGTAAAACAACAAAGAGAAAATAATCTGAATTAGCAAAATTAAGGGAAAACGAAAATTGTTTATTGGTTGCAGATGAGAGACAAATTCAGTGATAGCTAGATTCTTGATTAAGGTTGTTCGTACCACACGTGTCCTAATTCTAATTGGTTCTCCATGTATGAGGGATATAATTGTGGAGTTATTATAATAGGAAAAAATGTAAAATGCAAAGAAGTTGGGACTGGGACTATCAGCATTAAGATGCACGATGGCATGATCATATTCTTGGAAAATGTCAGACACGTTCTTGATCTGAAAAAGAACCTCATCTCTTTGGTTATACTTGATGCTAACAGTTGTAGGTTTGCAATTGAAGATGGAGTTATGAAGATTATGAGAGGTTAACTTCTTTTGATGGAAGGGCTGAAAACTGGTACTTTGTATCAGCTGCAAGGCGTTA